GTGCCATCCCTAGCGAGGGCAAACAAGATGCAGGAAAGTTGTTCCTGCTCCCGTATCTACTAGCATCCTCACTGTCGCCCTCCTGGTTGGTGCGTGGAAACCTGGCCCCGAGGAGCAGCAGCAGGCAGCGCATCTGGGGATGGGCAGAGCAGAGCGTGCAGATTGGCTCACACATAGCTGGTGAGGCCAGGGCCAGGGGGTGGGGCTGCTTCGGCTCAGAAAGTTCTCAGAAACAGCCTGGCCGTCCAGCAGCCAGGCTCAATAGTGTCCTGCAGTTGCCCAGGTCTCTGATTTGTTTCCTTGGCGCCTGTAGGGGAACAGCCAGTTCTCAACAGACTCGCCATGCTGGGGGACTCGGCCAGCCTTTGAAGCAACACAAAGTCCCTGGGTCCATTTGCTCAAAAGGCAGAATCTGGTGTCTGTCCACAGTATTAGGAGGTAGCCACTGAGTGGAGGCAGGGTTTATATTTGCATTTGAGATTATAAATTCAATGAATGTGATGACACATGCCTATGATCTCAGCCCTTGGAAGGCTGAGGCAGGAGGATCACTGAATTTGAGACCAGGCTAGGGCTGCATAGTGAATTCAAGGCCAGCTTGAGTTACAGAGCGAGACCTTGTCTCAAAAAACAAAAAGTAGTAATAAACAATGGGAGAGCAAGGCTCAGGTAAAGATCATACAAGTCAGAACTGGGCCAGCACGAACAATGACTAGGGAACAGCCAAGGCCCGGAAGGGAGAACCTGGAGCCGCTAGGCCGCACTAGGTGTAGTAGAGAGGTGTAGGGGTACAGCTCATTTTTATGAGGTTGCAGCAACAAACCCTGGCCCCAAGTCCCTACCCAACCTAGGTATGGTCCATGCCTGTAACCCTAGAGCTTGGGAGGCTCAGATAGGAGGAGCTGGAGTAGTTGGTGGGGTTATTCGGAGGGTCCAGGACCAACCCTGCTTCATAGACCCTATTCAGGAAAAAACAGGGTGATGACTTATCATTACATATATACAAACTGTACCAATAAATTTAAAAAAAAAAACAGTCTACAGGTGGCCCCCCACTGAGAAGGCCCCAATCCCCCTACCCAGTAGGTGGGTGGAGAGGGGACCACAGTGCCACTGGGCAGCGCCATCGTTCCTGGTCCATGGTGTCTGCATGCATAAGGCTTGAGGCTTCCCTACCCTGAGGGCTGTGGAACTACGGTTCCCAGAGGCCTCTGCTCCAGGTGGGAGGCCCAGCCAGCACTGCCCTGTAACCTGACCATCCCCTTGACAAATGTCACTTTAGCGCTCCTTGAGGGACAGCAACAGGGGGAGCCCAGAGCCGCTGGGCCTGGATGGGGGAGGGGGAGGCCTGCGGTCCTGCCTTAAGCGACCTCCCTCACATGGTCCCCTGGAACTCAGCACCTTGGGGCCCCTGCTCCCCGCTGTGCAGTGTCCTCTGCTAGTCTCACCTCTTCTGTGTGGCCTCCTCACCTGGGTGCAGCCCTGACAGTGCCCTGCCCTGGAGAGCCACCATGCTGAACTTGGGGGGCCAAAGGAAACTCTGCCACTCCAACAAAGGGAGGCCATGTCTCGGCCCCAGAGTGTGCCTCCTGAAAGCTGCCACTGTGGCAGCCCTTCCTCAGCCTCTTCCAGGACCGCACAGAGGCCTTGCAACCTAGTCCCAGCCCTTGGTTTTGTGGGGTTTTATTTTTGGTATGGGAATTGAACTCAGGACCTCTCACTCAGGCAGGCACTTATGCCACGGAGCTATATCCCTGGCTCCTTGTTTTTGACTTTTTTTTTGTCTTTTTCTTTTTTATCGGTACCAGGGATCAAACTCAGAACTGCCTGCTTGCAAGGCAGGTGCTTATGCTGCTGAGCTAAATCCCCAGCCTCTTTTTGACTTTTTGAGACAGGTCTCATCACGTAGCTCAGAATGGCCTTGAACTTAAAGTGATCCTCCAGCCTCATCCTCAGGAGTGAGACTCCAGGTGTGTCCAGCCTGGTTCCACTCTTTACATATATTCTGAGAGCAGGGCCCAGACTGGCAGACACTGCTGCCCGAGTCACACAGCCAGCCAGCTCCAGTTAAGCCTTAGGCCTCCCACTCTTGCATTCTGCTTGCGGCTTCTTGTCCTTAACCCTACAAAAGGCAGGGACAGGACCAAAGACAGAGGCCCCTGTTTGCAGCGTCTGGAGGAAGCGGGCCACCACCAGCCATGAACAGGCAAGGCCAGGCCCGGTGCACAGAAGGCTCACCCCTCCCTCCCCTCTTCTCTTCCTCTTGCCCTCAAAATAGCTCCCTGGTGGCCTAACCAATACCCTCCCCTGGCTGTGGGAGGCGGGGCATGCTGCCCTGAGCCTGGCTTTAAAGCCCCTCAGGGCTCAGGAACTCCACTTCCTGGCTGGAGGCACCCTCAAGGCCAGCCCTCTGTCCACTCATCCGTCTGTCCAGCCCACCCTCCTGCAGCCATGTCCCGGCCCCTGTCAGACCAGGAGAGGAGAAAGCAGATCAGTGTGCGTGGCCTGGCTGGCGTGGAGAATGTGACTGAACTGAAGAAGAACTTCAACCGCCACCTCCACTTCACGCTGGTCAAGGACCGAAACGTGGCCACCCCAAGAGACTACTACTTTGCACTGGCCCACACTGTGCGCGACCACCTCGTTGGGCGCTGGATCCGCACACAGCAGCACTACTATGAGAAGGACCCCAAGGTGTTGCAGAGCGAGGAAGGGGCTGGGTGGGGTTCCTGCCAGGGAGCTGGGAGACTGTGGGCTTCCGCAGCAAAATAGGTGTTTGCTCCGTGTCCTGGAGTTGGGGGATGCAAGGGGGCTGGGAGCAAGGGTTGCTGGGGCAACCGAAGGGGAGAGAGCCAACTGGGAGGGGGTTGCTGAGGGTATTAAGGCTGTTTGCAAAGACTTAGCTCCTGCATTCACTGGTGGGCAGAAAGGCGCTTGTAACCTGGCTCGGACCCAGGGTAGAGGGACTCAGGGTAGAGAGATGTGTCATCAAATGTGTGTGTGGTATGCCTAGGCTATGGGCAGGGTGCGGCTGGGGTGGCAGGGATCAAGTGTCTGGTGGGTCAGTGGTAAATGTCAGCAACCTAACACCCCACGCTGAGAGTGGGGGAGGGGAGGAGCCGGGAGGGGACCCAGGAATTGGAAGGCCAGATGCCCTGAGCATCCTCCAGTCTGCAGTCTACTCCATCTGCTTCTCAGGCCTTTAAGTTTGAGGCCAAAGAGGACCCGGGCACTGCATGGCCTGGAGGCATTGGCCTCCAGCCCTGAGTCATTGTGTGACCTTGAACAGAGGACTTTTTTTTCCTGGGCTTTGTCCTCAAAGGGAGCACTTGGAAGTGCTTTTCTATGTCCTGATCCCTTGAGGAGCTGTTGAGGTGTGTGTGATGGAAGGGGACCCCATCTTTCTAGCCAGCCCCATTCTCCAGATGGGAAATTGAGGCCAGAGAGAAAACATGTTGGTCCAAAGTCAGGAGAATGTTGGGAGCAAAGCCTTAGCTGCTGGGCTCTGAAGTCTAAGATGGTTCCTCTTAGGGCGGGGTGGGGGGCACTGGGGACACAGAAGGGACATGCTAGAACCTGAGAATGGGATAGGAGGGCGAGAGCAGTTCAGGCCCAGCAGGGCCCCGCTGAGTGTCTGTGGGCAGCCCTGACCCCACTTTCCTGTCACTCTGCCTGGCCCGGACAGAGGATCTACTACCTGTCCTTGGAGTTCTACATGGGACGCACACTGCAGAACACCATGGTGAACCTGGCCTTGGAGAACGCCTGTGATGAGGCCACCTATCAGGTGTGGGAGCGGGGGCCTTAAGGATTGGGGGGCTCTTCTGAGGGCACTTGGCACTGACTGCTGCCACCTGTCACCCCAGCTGGGCCTGGACATGGAGGAGCTGGAAGAAATAGAGGAAGATGCGGGACTGGGCAACGGAGGCCTGGGCCGGCTGGCAGGTGGGCAGCTTAGCGGGCAGGGGTGAGGGGCAGAGAATTCCTTTCTCTGGGTCCCTGACATCTACCTCCCTGACCCCCCCCCCTCAGCCTGCTTTCTGGACTCCATGGCAACCCTGGGCCTAGCCGCCTATGGCTACGGGATCCGCTATGAGTTTGGGATTTTTAACCAGAAGATCAGCGGGGGTTGGCAGGTGAGCAGCCTGCTCATTGGGCCACAGCGGGGGCTGACAGGTGAGCGCCCTGCTCATTGGGCCACGCACAGAGGGGCGGGTCCAGAGTCCCTCAGACTTGCCCCTCCTCTTCACTCTATGGCCTGCTGGAGACCTACTATGTTCCGCTGGAGAGCCCACCTGACCAGGGCCTCCCAGGCCATTTCTGCTGTCCTGCCCCATCACCTGCCGTGGCCTGAGTGTCAGGCTGTGACACTGCCTTCCTTTTCCCTGCCTGCCTGTGGTGCAGATGGAGGAGGCTGACGACTGGCTTCGCTATGGCAACCCCTGGGAGAAGGCCCGTCCTGAGTTCACGCTGCCTGTGCACTTCTATGGCCATGTGGAACACAGCAGCCAGGGGGCCAAGTGGGTGAACACACAGGTGAGGAGGAGGAAGGGCTGGGCAGAAGACAAAGTGACTGCAGGGAGAGAGCCCAGAGGGTACTGGACTCAGTGCTGTTTAACAACAGAAGACACTGAGGCTCATAGGTGTTGGGTGACTCATATAAGATGACACACAGCCAGAGGAAAGGCTAGAGTCAGAGTCACAGAGGCCAGGTCAAGGTCAATACATAGAAATAGCAGGGCATGGTGGTCCATGCCTGTAATCTCAGCACTTAGGAGGCTAAGGCAAGAGGATCCCTGCAAGTTTGAGGCCAGCCTGGGCTGCATAGTGAATTCAAAGCCAGCTTGAATTACATAGAGAGACCCTGTCTCAAAACAAAAAGTCAAAACAAAACAAAATATAAAGGACTATCAGGTGATTTTACTTCCCACTGCCAGCCTGCCCAGAGTGGGATGAAAGCAATATAACAGGTCATAAAGGAGACAGGAGGCAGTTAAGGCTTCCAGACTTGAAATTGACTTGTTCAAAATTACACAGCAAGTTATAGGGGGCATAAAGCCAAAGTAGGCATCCAAGACCCTGTCCAGGCAATCCTCTTTCCAGGGCTGCAGGCCCTCAGCTTCCCAGTGGGCTGCACAGAACCTCTAGGCTTTCAGAATGGGGTGTTCATCCGATGGCACCAGGCAGAGGCTGCAGCAGCCTGCAGTGCTGCTCTGGCCCCAGAGCCTGGGCTCTTTCGGGCTGCAGCTTCCATTCTGCTCTGTTCTCGTGTAGGGAGGGGAGGCCGATGCTTGCTGGCCATGGGAGGTGCGGCCAGCATTAGTCACTGCTAATAAGCTAAGTGATCAACCAGACAAGGACTCTGGAGAGACTGGACCTCTGTAACCTCTTCAGCCTGACCTGGCCTCCCTCTTCCAGTCTCTCAGGAATCCAGTGTCTCCACCTACAGGTGGTAACACACCTGCAATTCCTGTACTCAGGAGGCTGAGGCCAGAAGATCGATGTGAATTTGAGGCCAGCCTGGGTTACATAGTGAGACCTGTCTCAAAAAAAGAAAAACCAAAAACAAACGTGAGGATGAGGCTGAGGCTGAGGATAATGTATTCCCTTGCTTTTGCCCCAGCCAGGCTGGAGGCTTAGCCTGGCCCTGCAGAGTGAGCTCCGTCTGAGGTTCTGAACTTGTTGTAGCTCTGTAGCTCTACTTCTCCCCGTAATCCTCATGACAGACTAAATGAACAAGGCAGGAGGTGGGGGTGTCTAGAGCCATGTTGGGCCATATCCTCTTTATAGGTGAGTTTCAGAGAGATGACAGTTTGCTTACAGGGCTGGGATGAGACCTCAAGGTCAGGAGCTGGTAGCATTCAGGAACTATCTCTTGAGTTCCAGTCCTGCAGATGAGGGAGGCCCCATGTGGCAGACAAAGCAGGTGCCTAGGGCCGGCTTCCCAAACGCAGCAGCCAGCCAGCTCCTGACTCAGGTGCCCCTCACAGGTGGTACTGGCCATGCCTTATGACACACCCGTGCCTGGCTACCGAAACAATGTTGTCAACACAATGCGCCTCTGGTCTGCCAAAGCTCCCAATGACTTCAACCTCAAGGACTGTGAGTTCATCCACTGTGAGCCAGAAGCCTGCCCCATCCTGGCCGGGCCTGCGCTCAGCCCCAGCTTAACCTGTTCCTCTTTGTCCTTCAGTCAATGTTGGTGGCTATATCCAGGCTGTGCTGGATCGAAACCTGGCTGAGAACATTTCTCGTGTGCTGTACCCCAACGATAACGTGCGTCAGCCTTTGGGATGGGGGCTGGAGGCCTGAGTCCCAGGGAGAGGGGTCAGGGGAGCTGTGGCTGTCCTCCTTGCACTGGAATAGACTGTGTGTCCCGTTCCCCTAGTCCTAGTCCTTAGAGTGGGAGGATGCTTGGCTCCTAGAGAGGCAGGTGACACCCATAATCCTCTCGGTCCTTTTGTACCCCCATTTGTGACACCATCCCCCCAACCCTACTGTTACTTAGTGGAGCAAAGACCCCCAGGTCTTAGTGGGGTACTGTGTCTTAGTGTGGGTGGGCTCTCTCCTAGCCACACCTGCATCAGTCTTAGGCCACACCCCTGGCACATGTACTGTCCATAGTTCTTCGAGGGGAAGGAGCTGCGGTTGAAGCAGGAGTACTTCGTAGTGGCCGCCACCCTCCAGGACATCATCCGGCGCTTCAAATCCTCCAAGTTCGGCAGCCGTGATCCTGTGCGCACAAACTTCGACGCCTTCCCTGATAAGGTACCCAGCCTGGGATTTTCAATCGACCTGAGCCTTCCTCTTTTGTCTGCTGCTCCCCAGCTGTCCCCAGGAGCTCCTCAGCCCCAGAGCAGCCCCAGCCTTCTGGGAGCCTCCAAAGGAGCAAGCAAACGACAGTCACCTTTGCTCTTGGTCTGGGCCTCGTCTGACTCACAGCCCCTCCCACACAGGTGGCCATCCAGCTCAACGACACCCACCCGTCCTTGGCCATCCCTGAGCTGATGAGGATTCTTGTGGATCTGGAGCGGCTGGAGTGGGATAAGGTGAATTTCAGGGCCTCATGTTCTCTGCCTCAGGATCCTTCCCAGGTTGGAGAGTGGGAGGCCCCGGCAGGGGTCCTGGAACCTGGCTCTGCAGTGGCTTCCGTGCTGCTGTACAGACGGCCCAGGGCTCAGTCCTAGCATCCTACGCCCCGCCCCATGTGCCAGGCCTGGGACATAACTGTCAAGACGTGTGCCTACACCAACCACACGGTGCTGCCCGAGGCACTGGAGCGCTGGCCCGTGCACCTCCTGGAGACGCTGCTGCCCCGGCACCTGCAGATCATCTACGAGATCAACCAGCGCTTCCTGAATGTGAGCCGGGAAGGGGGCATGACCAGTAGGCAGCTGGAAGGGTGGCTGGCCAGGATCTGGGGCCTCGGGTGTGAGCACAGCTCTGAGCAGAGCCTTGGAGATTGGGTCTAGGGACCAAGGTTTTTGGGCTCTGGTGCCAGTTCTGGGCTCTTTTGGGCACAGCGAGTGGCGGCTTCCTTCCCTGGGGACGTAGACCGGCTGCGGCGCATGTCACTGGTGGAGGAGGGTGCGGTGAAGCGAATCAACATGGCGCACCTGTGCATTGCTGGCTCGCATGCAGTCAATGGTGTGGCCCGCATCCACTCTGAGATCCTCAAGAAGACCATGTGAGCCTATTCTCCAGCCCCAGCCTCCCGTAGTGGGTCCTACCCACAGACAGTGCACACTCTCACAGCCCCTTCTAGTACAGTCCTGTCCCCGGTGACCTCCTCTCACAGGATCCCAGGAGAAGCCCCTTTCGGGAAGAGCTAGGGGCTTCTGGGAGAAGGGCCCTTGTAGGGGTGAGTGGTGATGCGCATCCCCCTCCACCTTGCAGTTTCAAGGACTTCTATGAGCTGGAGCCTCATAAATTCCAGAATAAGACCAATGGCATCACCCCTCGGCGCTGGCTGGTTCTGTGTAACCCTGGGCTGGCAGAGGTCATTGCTGAGGTGAGGGGCGGTAAAGCCACTGCAGGGCACTGCAGGGGTCACTTGGGTATTGTGCTCACAGCACAGGGACTCAACGTTGAGGGCTGAAATTCATCCTGCACTGTGTCCCCAAGATAGGTGGTGCCTTTTCTTTCTTTCTTTCTTTTTTTTTTTTTGTCTTTTTCATTTTTATCGGTACTGGGGATCAAACTCACGACTGCCTGCTTGCAAGGCAGGCGCTTATGCCGCTGAGCTAAATCCCGAGTACCTAGGTGGTGCCTTTTCTTAAGTGCATGCATGCGGCCTCTGGGCTCATGGGGCCCTGGCTAGGAAAGCCAGCCTGCTGGGGGTGCTGGTCTAAGGAGGGAGGGAACTTCAGTGGGACCCATCTGAAATGAGACTGCAGGAGCCAGTGTCTGGTAGAAGGGACTTGAGAGAAGTCCAGGAGTCCAGGGAAGCCTGCTGGGGTGGCTGGGGCCGGTTAGGCCAGCCACCAGAGCTCAGATGGGATGGCAGGAAAGTGGCTGGGAGGATCCCAGAGCCAGGTGGCAGGCCCAGCTGAGCTGGAAAAGAGGGACCCCTCTGTGTCTGGGAGAAGGGTGACAGAGGGTGTGGTTTTCCTGAGAGCCGCCTGCCCACAGCGCATCGGGGAGGAGTACATCTCGGACCTGGACCAGCTGCGCAAACTGCTCTCCTATGTGGATGATGAAGCCTTTATCAGGGATGTGGCCAAAGTGAAGCAGGTGGGCAGCGCCACAGCCTGGGACACCACGAGGGCCAGGGGTGGCCCTTGGGAAGTGGGGGAGGGGCAGATAGAGCTGCCCCGCCTGTCCTGCCCAGGTCCTGCCAGGAGTAACCAGAGTAACCACCGATCTGCCCTGGCCCTGTCTGCCTGGCGAGGGCAGCAGTGAGCCTCCTGCCGTCCACCTTCCTGGGGCTGGCGGGAAGGAGGCAGTGAGGACCTTCCATCCATCAGCATCTTGGTGAGCCTTCTCCTTCCCCTCCCTGCAGGAAAACAAACTGAAGTTCTCTGCGTACCTGGAGAGAGAGTACAAAGTCCACATCAACCCCAATTCACTCTTCGATGTCCAGGTGAAACGGATTCATGAATACAAGCGCCAGCTCCTCAACTGCCTCCATGTCATCACCCTGTACAACCGTGAGTGGCGGGACCACCACGCAGCCCAGTCCTCCCCTCTGTATCCCTCCAGGAGGTCACACACTACCTGATCAGTAGCTCCTTGGCTGGTGACAGCTCCTAGGATAGGGAACGATACCTATTCCATAGATAGCCAAACCAAAGCTCAGCATGGGGCCTTGACAGCCACAGAGCCAGGGACTGGGGAAATTCAGGCTGCTGCCTCCTAGCATGGGCGCTGGCTGCCAGGGTACCATTGGGAGCGCCTAGCCGGGGTGGGATGGTGGTCGGCCACCTCTGTCCCTCTCTTCTCCACAGGCATCAAGAAGGAGCCTAACAAGTTCGTTGTGCCACGGACTGTGATGATCGGGGGCAAGGTAAGAAGCTAGGCCTGGCCCAGGGCTCTGCACTGCTGCCCTCCGTCTGGTGGAATGAGCCTGGCCAAGCAGTAGGACAGGTTGTGCGTGAGGCTAAGGCCTCAGCGCCGAGCCTACACTGTGCCCCGCAGGCTGCTCCCGGCTACCACATGGCCAAGATGATCATCAGACTCATCACTGCCATCGGGGACGTGGTAAACCACGACCCAGTGGTGGGCGACCGCCTTCGAGTCATTTTCCTGGAGAACTACCGGGTCTCACTGGCTGAAAAAGGTGGGTGCTGCTGCGGGGACCCTGGAGGCTCGAATGGACTGGGCCCCAGGAGAGACATTAGCAAGCTTTCCTGGGCAAGGGTGTCCCTCTGTGGGATTACAGGCAGCACAGCGTGGAATCCGGGGGAAGTAGACACAGGGTCCAGGCTGGATTCCAGGTATTAAAGAATCACCACGAATCAGAGATGTAGCTCCATTGGGCAGTAACTGCCCTGCAAGCTCCAGGCCCTGAGTTCAATTCCTAGTTAAAGAAAATAAATTGCAAAAGGGTGAAGCTGGCAATAGGAAATTAGTTGGTGAGGATCAGAGGGTTGGGGCACAGGGGACTTTGCATCTGGCTATGCCCACCTTGGGCAGGACAGTTCCCTGAGCTGACCCTGCCCCTTACTGCTGTCCTCCAGTGATCCCGGCTGCTGACCTCTCTGAGCAGATCTCCACAGCGGGCACGGAGGCCTCAGGCACGGGCAACATGAAGTTCATGCTCAACGGGGCTCTGACCATCGGCACCATGGATGGGGCCAACGTAGAGATGGCAGAGGAGGCAGGGGAGGAGAACTTCTTCATCTTCGGCATGCGGGTGGAGGACGTGGACAGGCTTGACCAGAGGGGGTATGCCGTGCATGGGTCAGGGCAGGAGGGCTGAGGCGTGGCTGCCAGGGATGGGATGGAAATTTGGGCAGTGCTGGGGCTTGAACTGAGTTCCATGTCTGCTGGGAACGTGCTCTACCACTAAGCCCACATCCTCCAAAAAACTTCTGGGGGAGCTTACAGCACATACACTTAATGGGATAAAAGAAGTAACACAGAATGGAAGGAAAGAACTGAGCCCACTGGTACACACCTGTCATCCTAGCACTGGGGAGGCTGAGGCGGGAGGGTTGCAAGCTTGAGGCCAGTCTGAGATACACAGAGAGTCTGGTCAGCCTGCACTACCAAGTGAGAGGCTGTCACAATTAACCAAAATTAGAACTGAAGGAAAAGAAAGAAAATTATACCAGTCTCAAGAGATACTATTCAGAAATGGAGGTGAAATTAAATCATTAGTTCCTGGAAAGCCATAAGAGGAGACAAATTTCCTGACATTAATTGTTTTTGATCCTGGCTATATAGCTTGCTCAGGTCAGCCTAGAGCTTGTTGCATAGTCCAGGCTGGCTCAAACTTGTGATTATCTTGCCTCAGTCTCCTGAGTGCTAAGATTACAGCCATGTACTACCAGTTTCCAGCAAAATTTATTTATTTACCTATTTATATGGATGGTACCAGGAATCGAGCTCATGACCTCACACTTGCCAGGCAAGCGCTTGTTCCACTGAGCTAAACCCCTGGCCCCAAAATTTATTTTTATATTTTTTGGCACTGAGAATCGAACTCATGACTGTGCGCTTGCAGGGCAGGCACTTATGCTGCTGAGCTAAATCCCCGGCTCCCAAAATTTATTTTTCTATTAGTCACTGTCTTTAGATTTTCTTTTGTTTTCTTTCTTTTTTCTCTCTCTTTTTTTGGTACCGGGGATTGAACTCATGACCTCACACTTGCAAGGGCAGGCTCTTATACCACTGAGCTAAATCCCCCCAAAATTTATTTTTAAATGTGATTATCAAAAAAGTAACATCTGCTCATTACTTAGAAAAATAAAAAACAAAAGAGAAATAACTGCTTTTCATACTCTCAGAGTGGGTTTAAAGCTATTTTGTTCTTTGAGACAGGGCCTTGCTAAATCACCAAGTTGCCCAGTCTGAGTGCAAACTTGTCCTCCTTTGTGTTCCTCCTGCCTCAGCCTCCCGAGCCTCCATACCCACCTCTCATGTCATTAGTCTTCAAAAATATTGTAAATATGTATATAGAGCCAGGTGTGGTGCTGCATGTCTGTGACCCCAGCACTCAGGAGGCTGAGGTGGGGAGTCCCCCAAGTTTCAGGCCAACCTGGGCTCCATAGTGAGTTCAAGGCCAGCCTGAACCACACAGCCAGACCCTGTCTCAAACAAACAAACAAAACAAGTCATATATGCTGGGAGTGGTGGTGCATGCCTGTAATTTCTGCATTTGTGAGGCAGACTTTAAGGCCAGCCTAGGCTGCATAGTGAGACCATCTCAAAAAATCATATAGGATTGCACCCTATGGGTATGGCACATTATTAGTAGTAGCAGTAGTATTGGTATTTGCAGTACTGAGGACTGAATCCAGGTCCCTACACTTAGCTACATCCTCAGCCTTTTCGTTTCTTTTTCTTTTTTTCTCTTTCCTTTTCTAGTCTTTCCTCTCCTCTCCTTTCCTTTCCTTTCCTTCTCATTCTGTCTCTGTCTCTGTTTCTGTTTTTGTCTCTGTCTTTATCTCTGTCTCTCTCCCACCTTTCTCTTTCCTTTTTTGAGACAGGGTCTCCCTATGCAGTTCAGGCTGATCCTGAACTCACTATGTAGCCTGGGCTGCCCTTGAACTCGCAGCAATCCTCCTGCCTCAGCTCGCCCAGTGCTGGGATTACAGAGTGCAGCACCATGCTTGGCTAACCATGACATACTGTTTAACCAATATCATATGGCTGGGTATTCAGGTTGATTAAGCCTGTTAGTCTAAATAGTACTTCAGTGAACAACTTTTTGCATCTATGTTTACAGCCATGATTACTTCCTTAAAAGAATTAGAATAGGATATTGTATGTAGGTGGGTGGTTAAGAATGAATTTATTTCAATTTATTTTAATTTTTTATGTTTTTATCGGTACCGGGGATTGAACTCACAACCACCTGCTTGCAAGGCAGGTGCTTATGCCACTGAACTAAATCCCCAACTCCAATTTTCTTTATTTTTTTTTTTTTTTGTGGCACTGGTAATTAGACAGAAGGGATGCTCTATCACTGACCTACATCCCTAATCCTTTGTATTTTTAAAAAACTGAATAAAGAATAAAAATGATACAGAATTTCAAAACAATATAGGAGATTAACAATGGTTAATATATTTTGCATTATCTTCAAAGTAGTTGCTCAGATTATAAAATAGCTGAAAACAATCATCAATTAATGAAATCACAAATTGTTCTTTTTGACGGACTAACAGAGATTAGTAGTATAGTTATGTTTTCCCTTCTTTCTTTTCTCCTTTCCACCATCCCAGTTGTTTTTTTCTCTTCCTCCCTTTCTTTCTTTCTTTTTTTTTTTCTTTGTTTGTTTGTTTCTTTCTTTCTTTCACTTGCTTGCTTGCTTGCTTGCTTTCTGGTCCTTTTGAGACAGGGTCTCTCTATGCAGTTTGGGTTGGCCTTGAGCACTCTGTAGCCCAGGCTGGTCTCGAACTCATGATCCTCCTGCCTCAACCTCCTGAGTGCTGGGATTACAGGTGTGTGCCACCACATCCAGCTTTAAGCACAAGTTCTTGAGGCTCTAACACGGAGATCCAAATTGCTTCCCAGAAAGTTGGTGCCATTATGCCCCCATCATGACTTAGGAGAGCTGGTATTCAATGCTGCAAGGAATTTCTGTGGGGCTTGACTAGAAAGCGCAGACTGTCCTTGGGGAACAGGTGGCTGTGAGATGTTTTGAGCATACTCTCCAGTGTTTTGGCTGAGGCTTTAGAATAATTCTGACTGCAGGATGAAGGCTGGGTTTCAGGGCGCAGGTGGGGACCAGAGTGGGAGCTGACACTGTAGGCAGAGGAGTCACCTGTAGCTGAATAGCTCAGAGGACTGGGGTCAGAGACATGGAAGAGGTCTTGGTATCTCACTGGAAGAGCACTTGCGGTGAAGGGGACCAGGCTGGCATGGGGAGGGATTTTGATCCTGAGGGAGGGGTTGTGCTGCCTTAGAAAGTGGAGGCAAGTTGGGTATGATGACACCTGCTTGTAATTCCAGAGGCTGAGGCAGGAGGATCATAAGCCTGAGGCTCGCCTGAGCCATGTAGTGAATTTGAGGCCTGCTGGCCTGCCTGGACTACATAGTGAGATTCTGTCTCAAAGAACAAACCAACAAGAGGAAGAAAGTTGGCACAAGGCCTGTGATGAGCTCGGCGGGACTGGCTGAGCTGAGCAGGCCCTTCCGAGAATGTGTCTGCTGGTGCCTCCTATAGCCAACGGCTAGGCCAGGGATGGGGTTAGGACACTGGCGGAGAAAAGATAGTCATGGTGGTTTTTTGGTGGTGTTGGGAATGGAACCAAGGGCCTTGTGCTTGCTAGGCAAGCGTCCTATGCTTGAGCCACACCTCAGCCCCAGTCCGTCATGGAGGGGACACAATGGTGGTGCATGCGTGCACGCCTGTAAGAGCCCTCTTTTGTAGGGCCTGTGGCTTTTTAAGCATTACCTTTTTGTTTCCTCCAGGCCTGAGTTTCTTCATCATCAAAGTAGGGAAGGAAAAATGAGCCGGGAAGGGAGAGGAGTGGTGAGGAAGGACCTCCAGAGCGGGCTTGGGTGGCAGCTCCAGGGAGGGCAGCGGCAGGCCGAGGCTTGGGACTTTCTGGATCCCTGGAGCAAGCACCAGCTGATGGAGCTCTGCCCTGCAGGTACAATGCCCAGGAGTACTATGACCGCATTCCTGAGCTCCGACAGATCATCGAGCAGCTAAGCAGTGGCTTCTTCTCCCCTAAACAGCCTGACTTGTTCAAGGACATTGTCAACATGCTCATGCACCATGATCGGTGAGGGGGGACATAGTGGGGGGAGGCTACCACGCAGCTGGGGCTGCTGGGCTGGGCAGGCATGTGGTGGGGGTGGGGAGGTAGGATTGGGTCCCTGCAGTTGCCACCAGGCTCCTTTGGAGTTTTTTTTAAATTTTACTTTATTTTTGTTGTTGTTGTTTGTTTTCTGAGACAGGATCTTGCTATGTAGTTCAGGCTGGCCTTGAGTTTACTGTGAAACCTAGGCTGCCCTTGAACTCAGCAATCCTACTAAGTGCCACCATGCCCAGCTTTGTTTTTTTGAGACAGGATCTTTCACTTTTTTTTTTTTTTTGTCTTTTTCCTTTTTATTGGTACTGGGGATCAAATTCACAACTGCCTGCTTGCAAGGCAGATGCTTATGCCACTGAGCTAAAACCCCAGCCCCTTGAGACAGGATGTTGTTCTGTAGTCCAGGCTAGCCTCAAGCTCATGGCGATCCTCCTGCCTCAGTCTCCCAAATGCTGGGATTATAGGTGTGCGCCACCACACTCTGCTTACCAACCTCCCTGGGAAGCAGCATGGTTCTCCAGGTCTCCAGATGTCCACTGGACAGAATGGGCTTGGCTGTTGACTTTGTGGAGCTTCTTACCTCTCCTTTGCTCTCTAGGTTCAAAGTTTTTGCAGATTATGAGGACTACATTAAATGCCAGGAGAAAGTCAGTAATCTGTACAAGGTGAGGGGTCCTGGGCCAGGACTTGGCAGGTCTTGGGCAGTCCTGGCTCGGATGAGGGAGAAAATGGGGATCCTGCTGGCAGAGTGAACCCAGAGCTCCCATTTGGCTGCAGAACCCAAGGGAGTGGACACGGATGGTGATCCGGAACATAGCCACCTCGGGCAAGTTCTCCAGCGACCGCACTATCGCACAGTATGCCAGGGAGATCTGGGGCGTGGAGCCTTCCCGACAGCGGCTGCCTGCCCCTGATGAGAAGATCTGAGCACCCCGACCAGACCCCAGTCTGCCCTGGGAGTCCTCCCAGCTCCTCTTCCAGAGGGCAGGCGACTGCTGCTAGGTCTCTAAGCCCCTTTCTGGAACCCTCATTTTCCCAGCCTGTAGGTACCAGTGTCCAGCGTGGTAAAGGACACTGCCCTCTTCTTAGCATCGGTCCCCATCCCTCTTATTTATGGGGTCTGACCAACTGCACCCACTCCCCAATAAATCCATTCTCCTTGGGAGCCTCCTTATTCTTTTCTCTGTTGGGAAATATTTTTAGCTCTAGGCGGCCACACCAGCAGCTGCTCGAACACCCTCCTATTTGCCCCCAACCCCAGCAGGTGCATTCTAGGGGAGGGGTTCCATGGAGGTGGGGCCTACGGTTCAGCCCCTTTCTGGGCGGCACCTCTACTCGTCTCTTCCCAGTGCTGTGTCCATACTAGGTCAGCGGCCGGCCTGACTGGCCGGGGGCGGGGCGTCTGCCTGGGTGGGAGTCACCAGGGCTGGGAGCCGGGACTCTGGCTGTGCCTCCGGGACAACAGCGATCCAGGCTCGGGGAGGCGGGGCCTATGGATGCTTGGTGCCTTTAGGGTCCGCCCTTAGCTCCGCCCCACTGCGGCGGTTTAGGGTCTCTTAGCAGGTGGCTTGCTCTGTCCAAAGTCTGGGGAGTGTTAGGGCAGAGGCGTTCCCAGAGCATTTAGGCTAGGCCACTGTCGCCCCCTTTCATCACTGAGGCCGTTTCTGGTGTTCTCAGTACCGAGACTGAAGTGTGCGTGGGGCGGGGGTGTCCTGCTCCCAGGCACGAGGCAGGGAGGGGCCGGCCTCAGAAGGGAGGTTTGGGGCCCGTGGTTTCACACTGAGTGTATTTGAACCCAAACGGCCGGAAACTGTTACCGGTCCCCCAAGTCTGGTTTGTGGGGACCCCAACTGCCTGTGGCTGCTACCCCAAGTTCCTCCTTGCCGGGGCACTGGCTTCCAGCCTCCCAGATGTGCAGACGCCACCAGCCGCCGGCAGCCGCCCCCTCTCTGCCACCCTCCGGTGTGAACCGGGGCGCCTTGCCCCACCCCCAGATATTGAGGCCGCGGTGCCAGGTAGCACGCAGGCCCCTCTCCCTGAAACGCTCCCGCTCATCCTGGCCCCTCCCCAGCTTTCACCAGGACCCGCTGCCCCTCGCCCCGACCTTCACCGCGCAGGTGCCCGCGCCGCCCGCAGGAAGACGCCCTGCTTGGGGCCGGGCTCGCCCCGTGGGAACGGTTTGTCTTGAAAACAGGAACCCGGGCCGGGGGCTGGGCGGGGCGCCCCTTCCCCACCGCAGTCCGCTTCCTGCCCCTCCCGGCTTCCTCCGTCCAACACCCAGGCGGGCCGGCGGCCCGGGGGCGTCCGGGGTGGGGGAGGGGTCTGACAGGAGTTTCCCCCTCCGCGTGCCCGCGCTCGCCCGGCCTCGCCGGTCCCTGGCGCAGCCCCCCTCCTGCGGCCCCGGCCTCCGTGGCGGCGCGGCAGGGGAGGGGTTAAGCTGCCGCAGGGGCCGCCGCGTGCGGGGCAAGGGGGAGCCCCGGTGGAGGAGGCGCCGCCGGCGGTGCGCAGCTCAGCGCGGAGCGGAGGGCGGGGTGGGGGCGGGGCGGCGGGGCGCTGGGCCGCGGCGCGGAGAGCGGGCGGCAGCCGCAGCCGCAGCGAGGCCGGCGGGCGGGAGCGCACTGTAGTGGCGCGGGCCGGGCTGGGCCGGGCCGGGCTGGGCGCGGGCTCACAGCAGCGTGTCCCAAGAGTGAGTGAGCGAGTGCGGGCGGGGCACGGGGCCCAGAAGGGGACCGAGTGGGGGGAGCAGGCGGGCGGGGACGGCTGATAGGGAGCCTGCGGAGTGATGCGGAGAGCTGGGGCATTTTGGACCACCCTTTGTGCCCCTGGCTTTTCTCAGCCACGTTCAGCCGGGGCCTCGCCTGCAAAAACCCATTTGACAGATGGGAAAATTGAGGCTCAGAGAGGCCAAGTGATTTTCAAGGTCACAGCGAGGAAGCAGCAGAACCTGGTAGGAATGGCTGTGGACTGTTCGAGGGAAAGTCCGTCTGAGAACTCCGTAGAGGAGCTCTTTTACCCCAGCACGGGGGGGGGGGAGCATGTGTGGGGGTACCGTACCCTTTTATGGGGCGAGGCTTTGCAGGGTGAAGTGATGGGAATCAGGGCCAGCCCTAGACCTCGGACGAAGGGGGGAAGGGGCGGCGTAATGGGCGTGTGCGCACCCACGGGAGTGTGTGCATGGTGGGAGAGTGCATGCGTGAAGATGCACTATCTTGCGCGTGTGCACACGTGTGCAGATGTCAGCGCCCCCTTGGCCGCGGGACTAGAGCTGGCTTTGTTCAAGTGGACATTAGGCCCGCGAGGTAACCTCGTCCATTGGGGTTTGCACTGGGGTAGATGAGCTGGGTGTGTGTGCTTGGGGGCTCCTCGGTGCAGGTGTGTCCAGCGTGCTGGTGGCATTGTCTGAGACAGAGGACAGGGGCGAATGCATATGCCCTGCAGCGTGTGCAAAGCGTATCTAACTTTGGTCCCTGGCCTCCGGAAAATACCTTGGGTGTGGAACGGGTGTCCCTGCAGGAGTGCGCCTAGCCTCCCCAGTGACCCGAGTTGCTGGAGGTGTCCTATCCGCAATGGCTACCCCCACGGTTCTAACGCCCCCTTCTGGGCACACTACTCTACTCACAGTTCACGTCTGCAGCCTAGGGGTCTGGGGTCAGGATTCCGGGTTGGAAGAAGATGGCCCACTGGAAGGGCGGAGCCTGGACCCCGGGCTTTCCTGGAGATGGCTTGGGAGCTCGTGGTTCCCAAGCTCAGGCTTCCCGCTGACGCCTGGAGGCTACCCCCCACTCCCGCCCCAGGAATGTTCCTCTCCGGCCTGCTTCACCAGGGCAGGCCCCTGGGGGCTGCCGATGCCCCGCCCCCTCTTCGCAGGCGCCGGGGAGGGGGCCTTGTGGGTAGGACGCCTGGGTTCTCTCTTCCCCCTCCCATCCTAGGGAGAAATTCCTCCGAGGTCCCCTCAGGCCCTGGGTTCCCAAAATAACCCTGCGGGGGAAGGGAGGCAGAGGAGGGAGGAAGGAGGGAGGGGCGCAGAGCCGAACTGTGGGGCGCTGCAGGTGCCTTGGAGGAGCAGGGGTGAGCCGCAGAGGGTCTGCAGGAGTGGGGCTGGGGCACCAGTCAACCCCTGGAGTCTGGACTCGTCCCATCCCCGCGGCCGACTCCTCGGCCCTTCCTCACCTCGGAGGGTGGGCCGGAAGCTTCTTGGCAGATCCGTTTCCCAACTAGCGAGTTGCACCATCCCGGGCCGGGCCGTTGAGCCCGGCAAGTGGCCGAGTGGCCACGGTGGGCAACTCCGCCCCGGGCCGGCAGAGGGCGTGCCCGCCCCTCCCCGTTCCTGCCCCAGGGCCGCGCCCCCTGCGGGCGGGAGCCTCGGCTGACTCGCGCTCTGCCTCTCCAGTACAGGGCTCGCGTCTGAGCCCCAAGGGAGGCTCCCGGAGCGCAGCCTGGGTCCAGCACACCCTGACCGGCAACCATGGCGGGCACTCTAGACCTGGACAAGGGCTGCACGGTGGAGGAGCTGCTTCGCGGCTGCATCGAAGCCTTCGGTGAGTTGGAGCCGGAGGGTGCACTGAGCCCTCCCCCCCGCCACCTCTCGAGTGGATCCCTGGCCTCGGGTCCTGCAGCCTTCTTGAGGAAAGCCCTTTGTGGCAGAGAGAGGTGCCCTCACTTCGTCAGGTCGCTGTTTCCTTTGCCCAGCCTATCCCGTGTCCGGGGTAACAGCCTCAGGCAAGGAGGGCTTTATCTATCTTCCCGGGGATCCGGAGGAACTCACTATCTCGGGCTTGGGAACTGTTTCCGGCAGATGAGGGGTGGCTTATCGGGTGAAGGGGTGCCCCTTTCCCCGTCACTCAGGAAGTGACCTCTGGATTCCCGACCCCGGTGAACCCAGACTCCTTCCGCCCCAGCTGGTTCCCCTCCAGACCAGGCCCAGTCCCAGACAGTTCGGCCCCCAGCTCCTCAGATCCTGCTCTGCCCCTCGCGCACTCAACTTTTTCTTTACCACTGACCTCCTGGTGTTTGATTTACCTACCAGGTTCAGAGCCCAGGGGAGGCTGGAGGTGGGCGGGGGCAGGAGTGCAGCCCCAGGGGCCCTGATGCTGGAAGGACTGCGGGCTAGGTTATAGGAATCCAAGCTTCCAGCTTAGGGACAAAGGGTCAGCCTGCTTCCTGCTTCTCTTTGACCCTGGGGAGTTAGATGACTCTGGGAAGGTGAGGGACCCCCAGCTGGTGCGCATGTTCCTCATGATGCACCCCTGGTACATCCCATCCTCGGAATTGGCGGCGAAGCTGCTCCATATATATCCTTTGCGGACCTCTCTTGGGCTTTTTGGCCAGTGTCCACCGGTGAGCACCACTGACCAGCCCAGGCATGGATGTACAAGCCCCTCCTTGGACCCAGAATTCCGGCCTCCTTCTTACCTCAGGGAGACCAGGCCTCACCTCTGCTCCCTTCCCCACTCAGACCCTGGCTTAAGCCTTGCCCCAGCGCTCCCTAGGGTTTCCATCTGTCTCTAGACTCAATGGGGTTACCTTGAAGCCTCTTGGAGCCCCTCTAGCTCTACACCCTACCCACCTCATCCTTCCAGAACCAGGGTTCCTCAGTTCCCATCCTGCCCTGCAAAGCCCCGTCCCTTCATCCCGCGCTGTAGAGTTAGGCACCACTCTTGTTTTCCTTAATCCTTGTCCACCTACCAACAATCACGGAAGGACAACTCCAATTCCCTGCAGGTGAAAACGTGCCACCTGGTCAGGTGAGTCTTCCTCTCGCTCCCTTCTCTGAGGCTTCGGACTGGCTGGAGGAGTGGACATAGTGCCCCTGGGCCTGGTGGGTTTGCACTTTGGATTGGACGGCAGGGCTGCTTCAGGCCTCTTCCACCAGCCTCCATCCTCAGTCTCAGCTTTCTTTCCTATCCTCCCTGTAGGGGTAGAGGTCTTGGAGGGGGGCTTTTGTAGCCTTGGGGGCAGCATGAACTGTGACAGGGGGAACTGATCTGAGACTCCTTCCTTCTCTTTGGGTGATAACTGTCCCAGTGATCCCTTCGGCATCCCCCTGGGCATGGTGGTGGAAAGGCTGCCTTGGGTGACTCTGCCCCTCCTCCAGGTACTGGATCTCAGCATTCCCAGCGGAGTTTGACTTGAACCCAGAGCTGGCGGAGCAGATCAAGGAGCTGAAGGCTCTGCTAGACCAAGAAGGGAACCGTCGTCACAGCAGCCTCATTGACATTGAGAGCGTGTGCGTGGCGGGGCTCAGAGGGCTTAATAAATGTCTGTTGATTGAATGAGTGAGGATCATGTCACTGTCTTGCTTCAACACTTTTCATGCTCCCTGTGGCCTTGCAAACGCCTGGCCGGGGTGATCTCAGGTCCCTGTCTCATCTGCCATGGCCCACAGCCAATCCTGCTGCGCCTCCTACCTCGGCTCCACCTTGCCTGCCCTCCATGTCTCAGCCCTGCATCCTTTCCCACCCAGCACTCCTCCTGTCACTGTCCTTGTCTCTTCCTCCATGCCAACTTAGCTCAAATCTGACATCTCTGTAGGCTCCGAGGGCTCAGGGCTGTTCCAGAGCAGTGTTTGTCCTCCCCGCTCTAACTTCCCATGACATTCTGCTCAGACTCCAGCACAGAGGCCTTATACATTGGTCATGCTCTTTAGTGATCCCCATTTCTGTGTCTGTCTTCCTCAGTAGACTGTGAGCTCCTTGAGGGCAGGAAGCGTGTCTTGCTAATCTCTCTCCCCAGCGTCTAGCACAATGCCTGGCACAGAGTATGTTGTCCATAAATGTGTGTTGTGTCGAGTGCAGGGGGAGGGGGAGACAGGGAGGAGTTGCTGGGCTGGGGACATTAGTGTCTTAGTGGCTCCCATCATGACAGCCTGAGTGGCATGTCTGTGTGAGTGTGGGGCCACACCTCAGGGGGCATCTCTAGCCTAGGGCTTACTACTGCTGCCCCCCGCAGTCCCACCTACAAGTGGAAGCGCCAAGTGACTCAGCGGAACCCCACAGAACAAAAAAAGCGCAAGATGTCCCTGTTGTTCGATCATCTGGAGCCCCTGGAGCTGGCAGAGCACCTCACCTACCTGGAGTACCGCTCCTTCTGCAAGATCCTGGTGTGGCCCGAGGGCTTACGTTGGGGGCCAGTGTGGTTTGGGAAGGGGGTTCTGGGGGGGGAAGGGCTCTGGGGTAGGCTGTGCTGTGCCTGGGACAGCTGGAGGATGTTGCAGTGCTGAGGCCACTCCTTCCTGCCTCCAGTTCCAGGACTATCACAGTTTTGTGACTCACGGCTGCACAGTGGACAACCCCGTGCTGGAGCGCTTCATCTCCCTCTTCAACAGCGTCTCGCAGTGGGTGCAGCTCATGATCCTCAGCAAGCCCACAGCCCCTCAGCGGGCTCTGGTCATCACACACTTCGTGCACGTGGCCGAGGTGCCTACCCTCCTCTGGCTCCCCGCGGCATGCACCCGGTGCCCCATCCCGGGAAAGGCTGGGCTCAGTCCCAGGCCCCGCTGGTGACGCACTGCCTCGCCTTCCCCATCTGACCCCCAGAAGCTGCTGCAGCTGCAGAACTTCAACACACTGATGGCTGTGGTCGGGGGCCTGAGCCACAGCTCCATCTCTCGACTCAAGGACACCCACAGCCACGTCAGCCCTGAGACCATCAAGGTGCTGGGAGCAGAGTCTGTGATTCCCATGTGTGACCTGTCCAGGTGCCATGCTGTGGGCTGGGCGCCACTGTCCTCATTTGCCAGCTGAGGAAACTGAGGCCTGGTGGGATTAAGTGCTTTCCCAGGTTATCCATGCAAGGGGCCAAGGGAGACTTCCAGGTCTGCCTGGTCCCAGAGCTAATGGTTTCATCTGTCTCTCTCTGACTGTCTCATAGCATACTGGGTAAGATAGACACAGAAAGTTTATAAAACAGATGAATAGACTAAAGAAAAATTACAAAGAAATGCCTGTGTAACTACCACCCAGGTTACAACACATTCCTATAATCCTGGCACTCTAGGTGGCTGAGGCAGGAGGATCACAAGTTCAAGCCCAGACCAGGCAGCTCAGTGACTTGGTGAGATGCTGTCTCAAAATAAAATGTTAGCCGTGGGTTTAACTCAGCTGCATAAGTGCCTGCTTGGCAAATGCAAGGTCATGAATTCAATCTCCGGTACAAAAACAAAATAAAATGTTGAAAAAAAGAAAAGATGAAAAGAGGACTGGAGCTGTAACAGTGTGAGGGCCCTGGGTTCAATCTCCAGAAGTCCAAAAAAACAAAAAAAGCCAGCATTGGTTGGCGGTGTGGCTCAGTGGTAGATACTTTTGTAGCTTGTATGGGGCACGAGGTTCTGTTCCTAGAACCTCGAAACACAAAAATGAAAACAAAGACATTGCTGCACCCAGCACTTTAGAGCATAATTCGCTCCCCACCAGAAGTAGTCAATGTGACTTTTGTGACAATGACTTTGTTTTCCCTGTGTGTGCTTTCCAAAGCAAGTGTGACTGTTTGGTTGCCTGTTTTTGAACTTTCTGTGAGCGCCGTTGTGTCATACTTGTTAGTGTGTGTCTTCCCTTCTCACTCCACAAGCTTGGGAAGGACATTTTTTGGTACCCGGGATCAAACTCACCACTGTGTGCTTGCAAGGCAGGCACTTATGCTGCTGAGCTAAATCCCCAGCCCTTGGGAGGGGCTTTTAATCCTGTTTTGTGGAGCAATCGTTTGTTCATTTTTGTTGTTATGACATGTGCTTGTAAATCCACCACAATTTATGCATCTACTCGATGGCTGAACATGTGGGGATTTTCCCAGTTCTCCCTGGTACAGCACGTCCAGGAGCATCCTCCTAGCCAGCTGCCTCACCTCCCCAAGCCTCAGTCTCTTCTATTAAATGCTCTGGTGGAGAGGTGTGGTATTTGACATTGGCTGTTGCCTTGAACTTGTGACCTCTGAACTCTACCCCCTAGGAACTGAGGGAGCTGGTGATGAGGGACCATAAGAGAGGATTTTGTCTTCCATCTATGCCTGACTCTGATACATCCTTCTTCCATTGAGTGGGGTGTATGTGTGTAACCTTCTGCCCTTCGTTCCCCAGCTCTGGGAAGGTCTCACAGAACTAGTGACAGCCACTGGCAACTATGGTAACTACCGGCGCCGGCTGGCAGCTTGTGTGGGCTTCCGCTTCCCCATCCTGGGTGTCCACCTCAAGGACCTGGTGGCCCTGCAGCTGGCACTGCCTGACTGGCTGGACTCGGCCCGGACCCGGCTCAATGGGGCCAAAATGAAGCAGCTCTTCAGCATCCTGGAGGAGCTGGCCATGGTGACCAGCCTGAGGCCACCTGTGCAAGCCAACCCTGACTTGCTGAGTCTGCTTACGGTGAGAACAAGGGGTGGGAGTGGGGGTGGCCTGGCTGGGATCTGGGCACCAGGGGTTAAGAGCTGCACTAATCTTGGCTGTGGGCTTGGCCTTGGTTCTGGATTCTGGCCAAGGGACTGAAATACAAATGGGGCTCCAGCACTTGGGGTGAACGCAGGATGAGTTGCAGGCTTGGGCTGAGACTGTATTCCAAGGCTGGTCTTGAGGCTGCCACATGGTTTGAGGACCGATTGTGAGGCTAAGCGTGGCTCCTGGGTCAAGATTCTGTGTAAGGTTTGGGGCTGTCCTCCAGATCCTTTGGACAGACTGGGTTCTTAGATTTGGAGTGAAGTCCTGCATTTAGCTTCCTGTTCAGTCTGAAAGCTGAGTGTAGGACTGAGTTCCAGGCCGAAGCCAGACAAGGTTCTAGATGCTAGGCTGAGGCTTAGGTGGAGGTTTTGGTGTAAACTCTTAGCTGCTTCCCCGGCTCTGGATGGAGATCCAGGTTGAAATTAGAGTTGGATTCTGGGAGAATTCCAGAGCTCAGGGCTGGGTCCTGACTGGGCTCTTGGCTGAGATCTTGGCAGTACAAGGTGTGAGGCCAAGCTGAGGTCTGGTCAGTGTGTTGCTGGCACAGGGGTTACTGGGGTGTATTCCAAGCTGGATTTTGTGCCGAGTCTAGCATAGGACTGGGCTCTGGGCTGAGCAGTTGCCTCTGGGTGGTCCTGCAGTTCTGGCTTGGAGGCGCCTGAGAACAGCAGGGACCTCTGTATCCTAGGTGTCACTGGATCAGTATCAGACGGAGGATGAACTGTACCAGCTGTCCCTGCAGCGGGAGCCCCGCTCCAAGTCCTCGGTGAGGGAGACTCCCTGGTTTCCCACCTCTCTCCTGCCGGAGAACCTCAAGATATGCCAATGGCAAGAGCTCTTCAAAGCAGCTCCTGGGACACAGGAGCCCCAGGGCAGGGCGGTGGTATTGGGCAGGTTCTTTTCCCTCACACTCTCCCTGTCTGTTCTCCTGGGCCCTGGGCTCCCTCTACCTCTGGCCTTAGGCTTGACCATTCCCACAGCCAGCAAGCCCCACCAGCTGTACCCCCCCTCCCCGGCCCCCAGTGCTTGAAGAGTGGACCTCGGCTGCAAAGCCCAAGCTGGACCAAGCCCTCCTGGCAGAGCACATTGAGAAGATGGTGGAGGTGAGTCTCCTGGAGTCTGAGACATGGGGAGAAAAGTCTGCCAATGGGGGCAGTGGTCAGTAAAGGCTGGTTTTGCCAGAGCGCTGGCCTGGGAGCCACCATGGGTGCCATGTCCACGGGGGAGTGCTTCATGACCAGGACAGGTAGCAGGCTGCACAAGGCAGTGGGCCAATGGGCGGGTTGGGTGGGGATAGGAAAGTAGAGGTGGTGGGGGATATGCCTCTGACGCCTTTCATAGCGCAGACTGGATCTGTCAGAAGGAGCAGGCCCTGGGGACCCTTTTCATTCTCCTCTCCTGGCTTTACACGTCCCTCTGTCCCCCAGTCTGTGTTCAGGAACTTTGATGTCGATGGAGATGGGCACATTTCCCAGGAAGAGTTCCAGATCATCCGGGGCAACTTCCCTTATCTCAGCGCCTTTGGGGACCTGGACCAGAACCAGTGAGGAGGGCTGGGAGCCTGGGGGACAGGGAAGGCATGGCTTACTTCCCCCTCGCCCTTCAGTTTTCCCGAGTTCAAGATGAGGCCACTGAACCCGGTGACCTTGGCTGGGGAAGTTGCCACTCTGGGGAAGACTACTCTTTTGGGAGGTGGGAGGTGGCTTTGAGATTTTGAGGTGCAGTGTGATGTCATTAATCCAGGCAGATAGGGGACCGGAGCTCCACCCGAATCTTGAAAAGACTGTGGCCTGGGGACCTTTGCTACATAAATACTGTTTTATTTGTGGAGTTCACAGCTGGCAAAATATATGGGCAAGTCGAGCTCTGGGGTAGCCAGTTTTAATGACTAGATAAGAAAGGCCTGTAATTAGCAGCACCCACTTGCTTATCGACAATTCATCCGCTGCAATTTGGAGAAACAGCTGGATCTCTGAAGTAGGTTAAGCATACCCTGCCACTGTGTTTGTGCCCCACTTTTTGCTGAGCAGACAAAACTCCAATCAAAATTTACAGTCCATCTTAGGTCGATTTATTTTTAAATATGGCCTGTATTTCAACTCCTCCCTTTTAAATTTCCACTTCACAAAACTATAATTGCCAGGCGTGGTGGTGCATGCTTGCAATCCCAGCACTTGGGAGGCTGAGGCAGGAGGATTTCTGTGAGTTTCAGGCAAGCCTGGGCTATATAATAAGACCCTGTCTCAAAACAAAACAAAATGTATGATTAAAAAATTTCAAGTAGTAAAATAAATTTATACTGGTAGGTATGCAGAGTAAGAAGTAAACATTCTCAACCTCCTTCCCACTGGTAGAGATAACCTATGTCAATGGTCAGGCAAAATGGGCATCCTTCTAGTCCTTTTTCCATGCAGATACAAATCAGTAGGTTTTGTTTGTGTGGTGTGTGTTTCATGGAGAAACAGGATTGCAGTATAAACCCAGTGGCTTTATTGAGGTTGCTTTGTTCCTTTTCCCAAAGATGAGGTAGGAGCAGATGAGTTCCATGTTACCACCCTGGGCAGGTGGGTGATTTTATTACATGCTGCCTTTTCCATCTTAAAATAGAATCTTTTAAGACCCTGTAGGGACTGGGGTGAGGTGGTGGATGCCTGTGATTCCAGGGGACACCAGCCTGGTAACTGAGATTCTGGGGACCCCAGCTCCATGTAGGGCCCAGCTTTAACTCTCTACCTGATGGACTGGGGTGTGACTCAGTGATGGAAAGTACTAGACATGCACAAGGTCCCAGCCCCAGAAAAAAAGAAAAAAGAGAGAGACCAGTAATCCCTGCTCAGACCAGCCCAGCTCACAGCCTCATCTTGAAGCTCTTTCTTTGTTTCTGGAACTTGAGGATTTCCAGCTCCTTTTTGAAAAATTATGCATTTAAAAGCAGTTTTGGAGATCTTTTTAATCAGCATCTGACTATAAAGGAACAGTGGGTTTTCCCCTTCATTCATTCATTCCTTCCTTCCTTCCTTCCTGTCTCACTGGAATTGCATACTTTACTCTTTTTTTTTTGCTTTTGTTTCTGTGTTCCACTGTATCCCGAACACCTTTCCGTGTGGAGACATGTAGAGCTACTCATTCTTTAGAACAGCTGCAGAGTACTGCACCGTGCGGCTGGACCATCATTTACCTGGCCGTCCTCCTGCTGACGGATGTGTAGACTGTTGTGGTGTTGCTCTGTAATTATGTGCTGTGCTGCTGTGAACATCCCTATACCCAGTGCTAAGGCCAGGATTTCTGTAGGAGAAATTCCTAGAAGTGGGATAATTGAATTAAAAGAAATGCACACATTCTAAATTAGGAGAGACTGCCAAGCTGACCTCAGACAAGGTTGTACCAGCCCACATCCTCATCGGCAGTGTACAAATGTCCATGTGCGACTTTCTGGCCAAGAATGGGCACTATAATAAGCTCAACAGTTTTTCTAGTCTCTTTGGCAAACGGTACCTTCGTTTAATTTGCATTTCTTTAATACAAAGATTGGGGGAGGGTATCTAGTCATGTTTTATTGGCCACTTTTATTTCTTCTGTTAATTGTGTGTTCATAATTGTTGTCCATTATTCTACTGAGTTTGTTAGTCTTTTTCTCATTGATTTTTACAAACTCTGTTAATGGATATTAACCCTTTAATGTTGAATGTGTTTGCAAATATTTTCTCCCTGTCATTTATGTTGTCTTTTTCCATATAAAAGTTTAAAAAATGTTCCTGTGTTCAATATGTCAGTCTTTTCCTTTATGGCTTTTTGGATTTGTGTTATGTGTAGAAAGGTCCTCAGCTCCTCAAGGTTAAAAATAATTCTCTTGGGGCTGGGGATTTAGCTCAGTGGCATAAGCACCTGCCTGGCAAGAGCAAGATCCTGAGTTCAATTCCTGGTACCAAAAAAAAATCTTTTTAGACATTTTTATAATTTACTTTTCTCATCAATGTTCGTGCCTCATTGAGGTTGTAGTTTTTCATGCACAGTGTGAAGTTTACTTTTTTTTTTTTTTTGTCTTTTTCTTTTTTATCGGTACCAGGGATCGAACTCGTGACTGCCTGCTTGCAAGGCAGGCGCTCATGCCGCTGAGCTAAATCCCCAGCCCCGAAGTTTACGTTTTTATAAACCTTTCCAAGATGTCTGTTGTCCCAGTGTTCTGTTGATTTTTTTTTTTTTTTTTGTACTTGGAATAAAAGTCAGGGCCTCACACTTGCTGGGCAGATGCTGTGCTGCTGAGCTATATCCCCAGCATTGTGGAGCTCCATGTACAGTGGGAGGGGGTTTCAGACAAGGGCCAGCCCTGAGGGAAATAGCTCTGGGTGGCTGAGGACCCCTACCCAAGGGGTACTTGTGTGAATTAGCACATGTACTGTGATCCTCTCACAACTTCTCTGAGGTACAGGAAGTATCATTATGCCTATGTATAGATAGGGAAACTGAGGCACAGGGACATTAGCCAGGTCACAGCCCAGAACTAGAGCTGGTACTTGAACTGAGATCTGTATGCAGGGCGTGTGTTTGTCCTTTCCATAAAATATATTAATGTATTAATGTAGTCAGTGTGACACATGCCTGTGATTCCAGCTACAGGGGGCTGAAGCAGGAGGATTGCATTCAAGACCTTTCTCAAAATAAAATAAAAAGAGCTGGAGATGTAGCTCAGTACTCTCTCGGTTCATCCTCAGTACTTAAAAATGTGTGTGCATATTATATATTAAAATTATATACTCTAGTATACGCAAATATATGAAAAAAGGTCCTACGAAGTCCTGATTACAAGTGTGTTTTCAGGGGAAGAGGGAGACAGAGCTGTTTTCCCCAATGTCACGTGGCTCCAGAACTTGTGGGAGAGCTCTGCACACTCAGGGCCAGCTCTGGCAGGGCTTACTCAGAGCGCACTTTGGAAACGAGGCTGCTGACCCCAGGGGAAATGCACACCCCAGCTGTAAAGCTGGCAGGGCAGGCCTAGGATCCCCTCGCTCTGAGGACAAGACCCAAAGACCATGACTTGCTCAAAATCACACAACTCGATAGTGGCAGCTGCTACATCTGCCTGGCTCCTAGACTAATGCGTCCGGGTATCTCAGGGAGGACCTTATACCTAGGGAGCCCCCCCACAGGGTGAGGCTGGTAGTAGGGTAGGTGGAGGGGACAAACTGAGGCGTCCCGCTTCCCCCAGGGATGGCTGCATTAGTCGGGAGGAGATGATCTCTTACTTCCTGCGCTCCAGCTCGGTGCTGGGCGGCCGTATGGGCTTCGTACACAACTTCCAGGAGAGCAGCTCCTTGCGCCCGGTTGCCTGCCGCCACTGCAAAGCCCTGGTGAGCACCCCATTTACGTAGAGGCCCCAGCCCCGCCCCGCCCACCTACAGGCCCCGCCCAACAAAAGCCACACCCACTACAGATCCCGCCCCACTGTAGGCCATGCCCCTGCCTGCTCGGTAAACCTTTACTCAACTGCCTCTTCTCTTGCTGTTGCTCTCCTGGCCCTGAGGAGGGCGCTAAAATTTCAGTCTCTGCCCCCGAGGGGAGAGGTGGTCAACACCTCTCAATCTCTACTGCCCCAGCACGGCTCCCTCCTTTATTGCAGATCCTGGGCATCTACAAACAGGGCCTCAAATGCCGAGGTAAGATGACAAATGAAAGACTGCTGGGCTGAGGTTTTGGGGAGAGTTACTGTCTTGAGTGGGGATTTTTACTTTTGGCTGGGAGTACTGGTACTTGCCTAGAAGTAAAATACCTCTGAACCAGAAGGTATCCTGATTGATGTGAAGAGAGTACCCTTTAAGAGGTGTTTATTCTGGAGGCAGCTGCGTGGACCACAGAAGAGGGCACAGACTCTCAATACGGATGAAGAAAGCCCTTTGGAACTAGACTCTTATTTTGAGGGGGCAGCTGCTTAGCAGCAAAGGGACATGTGGAGAAGTGCAGGTCTGCAGGATGGATCGGAGGGTTTTCTGACCGATGGCCCAGATTGGTCTCCATGTCCTCTTTCCCAGCCTGTGGTGTGAACTGCCATAAACAGTGCAAAGACCGCCTGTCCGTGGAGTGCCGGCGCCGTGCCCAGAGCGTGAGCCTGGAGGGGTCTGCCCCCTCCCCCTCTCCCACGCACGCCCACCACCGAGCCTTCAGCTTCTCTCTGCCTCGCCCTGGCAGGCGAGGCTCCAGGCCTCCAGGTAAGAGGGAGTGTATTCTGGTGCTGGCCTGGACTGAGGGAGATGGGGCCACTGTGGTACCCATCCAGCATGCAAGCTGATCTAGGGTGTATAATTCTCCTGTGTTGGTGGGATTGCATGGAAGAGTCAGACCCGTGAGCAGGTGGCTAGGAGCCCTTGATCTTTCTGAGGCAAGAAGGAAAGAAGCGTGAAAGTGAAAAAAGCTTCAGAATTCCATTCTCTTATTTTATTAGAGGGACTGGCAAAGGATTGGAGGAGCCATTTGCCTGCATTTCTCTTTGTGGCTGTTCTGAGAAAAGCCCCTTGCCGGGCTAAAGTCCTGGCGGCTGTCTCTGGTGATTTTAAGTCTCCTTGCTGAGTGACAATGATTATTTTCGCTGGATGATTATTTTACTGAGAACGATCTGTACAAATGCATTATACTGGGGTCTGAGGCAGTTGACCACAACCGTTGGGGTTGACATAAGTCCTCAAAAATAGAAAAGATAAAGCCATTTGCATCGAGCCTTCCAGAAGTGCTGGATCTAAAATGTGAAATATACACAACATTGACATTTAAGCAAACTGCACTGACAAATCCATGGCTGCAAAAAAACCTAGTGAAATGAAGAGCCACGAAACATAGGTCGAGGAGTCATTTAGGGAACCAGGTTGTGGTGGATGGGTCAGCTTTGGGGAAGGAATGGGACAGCACCTCCCTCGCCTCCCTCGAGAGGTGAGGGCTGCTGGGGTCACTGATGCCCAGGAGTGGGTTTCCACAGAGATCCGGGAGGAGGAGGTGCAGACGGTGGAGGATGGAGTGTTTGACATCCACTTGTAACGGGCGGTGAGTCTTTCCATAAGGGCTCGGGGTTCCTCACTGAGGGTGGGGTGGGGTGTATTCTGTCTAGATGACTCCTAGATGGAGCAGGTGGGCTCCTAGCCTTTTTGGGGGGCGTCTTCCTCACAACCTCTGTTTTTCTCCTAGTGTCAGTGGATGACGGAGTTATTCCTGCCTTGGAGAAAGGATTTGGACCTGAGCAGGGAGCCGGGGTTCAGGGCAGGGAGCTGGGGCTGGAGGTGGTGTGTGAGGGAGGCATGCACTGAGGGCAGGGCCAGGGCTGGGGTCCCCGAGGTTGTACAGATTCTTGTGAATATTTGTATTTTCCAGATGGAATAAAAAGGCCCGTGTCATTAAACTGAACCATCAGAGCCTAGAATCCTGGAGGGTGGGGCGCTGTAGTTCCAAGACTGGTCTTTGGGGGGACTGGGGATTTAGCTCAGTGGCATAAGCGCCTGCCTTGCAAGTAGGCAGTCGTGAGTTCAATCCCAGGTACCGATAAAAAGGAAAAAGACAAAAAAAAAAAAAAAAAAAAAAAAAAAAAGACTGGCCTTTGGTGTAGAAATTTTAGTCAGAGAGACTTGAGATGTCTGGAATCTCATGTGTCTGGAGTCCTGGGGGATTAACTTTAGAACTGGAAAACTTCCAAACATAAGGATCTTTGAAGGTCTAGTATCTTGGGGATCTAAATCTTGAAACTAGTATATTTTTCACCCTAGAATTGCTGGATCCAGTGGTCTTGTTAGAGCTTTTAGCACATGGTCCAAATTCCCTTGCTTTGAGTTGGGAGCATGGTAGTGCATACCTGTAATCCCAGCATTCAGGAGCCTGAGGCAGGAGGATCATAAATTCGGGGCCAGCCTGGATTACATGGTGACATCCTCAAAGAAAAAAGAAATTCCTTGCTTGACAGGTGGCCTTTCAGTCTCTGCTTGAAGATTTCCAGTGACCCATGTGCACTGTAGGAATCCTGGGAGGAGGAGGGCTGTGGGGGCTGACAGTGGGGGAAGGGGTGGGTGGGGAGGGCCTTGGGCAGCCCTAGGCCCTGCTGGGCTTATGGGCCTCCGTGCGACGGGGGTGGTACTTCTCGGTCATGCAGCCTCCTGGCCTAGTGCTGCTACCAGCCAGAAGGACAGTGACTTCCAGAGGAAATGCATATTGATCCTGCAGTCAGTCTCTAGAGGCCTCTCCCAACTCTGCTCTCTCTTCCCTCCTGAGCTTGCAGTGTAGAGGTTTTGGGGGTCACCACTACGTAAAGAAGGCTAAGACCACATCTAGGGGTGATCTCAGTGGGGAGAGTGGCCTGGGAATTTCTTAAAGCTTCTGGAGCTGGGCCAGGCTGTCCCCCCACTCCCGCCATCAGGAGAGTACAGACATGAACCCTGGGAATGGGAACTGCCTCCCTAGCTCCCCAAATGGGGTGCCTTGGGGGTAGACATGTGAGCACCCCAACTCCTGCCTGCAAAGCACAATACCTGCAGCTCTACCAGATCTCAGCTCTCCTGTGAATGTGCCTCCCCCAGGCTTCCCCCCATTTCTGGTCCACTGCATTCCTCCTGGGTTATTCCTTATTTTGGGCTACCCCTTTCTCCTCTGTCACATCTCAGCTTCAGCCCTGTTTCTCATTGGGTCCCCTGCTCTGCCCCTCCTTCTCTTCTCAGCCCCCTCCAGTCCTTCCCCCTCTTGAGGCTGTAATATCCGTTTCACGATTTGGGGGCTGAGTTGCTATAACAACAGACGGGTGATTGTGTTGTGAAGAGCAGCTTACTCCTGCACCGCTGCCTCCTGCACTGCCTCCATCCCTGCAGCCTGGTGTGCTCCCCTTCCCACCCCCAGCCCCGCCTGGCCTCTTCCCAGTGCGCGTGTGTGCATGCGTGCGAGTGTGTGCGTGCATGCATGTGTGTGTATGTGTCTGTGTGTGCAGGTAGGCCCTGCCTGGAACATGACGTGTGCCTGTCTTGTCATGGTTGCATGTATCAGAATTGGGTGTCTGAGCTTCCCATTATGTGTGCACCTACACATGTGTGTGCCTTATACATGCACATGTGTGTAAGGACGTGCATGCTGTATTTGTTTCTCTTTCCTCTGTGTGTTCCCCCCAACTATGTGCATGGGAGAGGGGTGTGTGCTCAGCATATCACTTTGGGTGGCTGCCTATGTGTCGGGGTACACATTACCTTGAAGTGAAGAGCCCCAGCTGCATGGGGGTCTTTCCCTGTGAGGGAGGATGGGCAGGGAGGTGCATAGGTGCTAGGTGACCTTTCCTGCCCTTGATGGACAAAGCCGGGAGTGGGGACAGGAAACAAGTGCTCACCTTGACTTCCCCTCCCTGCCCAGACTCATTGTAAGAGTCTGTCTTTGAGTACCTGTACCTGTCTGTCTCTTCCTGGGCCTGGTGCCTGCTGCACCATGCAAGTGTGTGTGTGTGTGTGTGTGTGTGTGTGTGTGCGCGCGCGCGTATGTGTGCATGAGTGTCAGGAGGCTGCAGAAAGAAGAGCAGTGGTGGTGGGTAGGACAGTGGTCTGTGGGGTCAAAGAGGGGAGTTTTCACATCCACAGACCCTGACTCAGCAGTTCCCATTCTCTGGCTCCTCCAGTGGTCTTAGTGGGCATGGCCTGAGGGTGTCTCCAAGGTTAGAGTACACCCCAAGTCTGGAACTCATTCAGAGATTGCCCTTTTTAACCCCTAGGAAACACCCCTTGCAGTCTGAGTGCACCTCTCGACCCTCAGCTGGAGAAGGAGGTCCCTTCTGGACAGGGGCAACCACATTCACCAGTCCAGTAGGTAACTGACCACTCTCTGCAAAGTAACTCATGGGCAGGGCAACCCTGTGGGTGGGTCTCCTTGTGTACCTGTTTCCTGAGGGTGTGTATTTGCCCTTGAGTGAGCAGACACTGTGTGCACAAGTGTGTTTTACCATGGTGGAGCATTTCTGCAGGTGTCCTTTTGGAATGCCTTGGGCACTCAGATAGGTGTGCACAGCTGTGAGTGTGCCCCCACGTGCATACAGATGCACTAGGAGTTGTGTTCCTGCGTACTGCCTCTGGCTAACTACCCCTGGCTGTGCAGATCACCGATCCTGCAACAGAAATCAAGGTCTTGGAGTGAGCTGACAAAATAGTCTCTATACACACACTTATGCAGATACACACAAAACCCTGCCTCGGTCAGAAGCCCAGTGTCCATCTCGCTTAGTGGTACATGCCCCAGGGAGCTATTGGATCCACCTTGTGTCAGCGGAGTGAAGAGGTGATCCCTCCCCACGCTCAGATCCAGGCACGGTGCGGCAGATGCCCCTACAGGGAAGACCTGCACCCTAGAACCGCACTCGTGGCTGGAAGGGGGAGCAGAGAAAAGGGGTCCCTTAGTGACCAGGCATGTGTAGTCAGCCCAGCCTTCCAGATAGGACACAGTCTGACTCCAAACTTTGGGACTGCTCTGGGGCTGGGCTGGGCAACCCCAAGTGCCTGGGTTTACCTCTCCCCCATCTGTGCCTTTCTCTTCCTCAATGTCTTGTTACGCCAGCAAAGGCCCTCTCTCCACAGTTCTGGGGGCTCCCAACCAGGAGGCCCCTGGGCAGTGGGAGGTAGGAGACCGGATGGGAAAATCCCCCTGCAGGCGGGTCTCCTTACTGGGGTTCCCGCAGCCTGGGCCTGCCCCTGGTTGTGCCAGCAGAGGGCGCTGCGGACCAAGTCCCGCATTGGTCCTGCTCTTTGGGTCCCCCAAGTTAGGTCCAAGCCGCTCTTTTGGCTGGTCTAGCCCTGGGCGCTGCCTCCACGCGTACCCGCGGGCCAGGAAAGGGGTGGGGTGCTGCACGCGAGGGTTCGACTCAATGGGCAAAGAGCTAGGGCGCCTGGGTTTCCTAAAGACAGGTTGAGCTGGGGTCTACTTGGCGGGGACTGGCGTGCAGGATAAGAAGCTTCCGAGGCGCGAAGGGTTCTGAGGGCCCGAGGCCGGGACGCCGGGGTCCTGCGCGGGGGAGGGAGGGAGGGGCCTGGGAAACCGGGACCGGCGGCGTCTGTGCCTTCACATTGGCTGCAATGGTTGTCCGTTAGCGCAGCGTGGCCCAATGCAAGCAGCTGAGGGGCGGGCCCGTCGCGGCTGCTGCCGTCAGTCGGTGTTGCAGGGATGCGGCGGCGGGAGCAGCCGGTCTGACTCGCGAGCATATTCCTCGGAGCAGCGCCGCGGCGGGGCGGGCGGGGACGCGGCGGGGAACCGGAGAGGCGCGAGGCGGCCGACACCATCAGCCCCGACTCTGACACCCGCCGCAGACGGGGCGGCTTCGGGGGTCGGATCCCCACCCCTCCAGCTCCCAGCACCCCCAGAAACAGGTACGGGAGGGGGGGCTGCGGCGGAGACGGGCGGGGGGCGGGAGAGATCGGACGGGGGGAGGCAGAAAGGTTGGATCAGGGGGCGGGGGCGCCGAGTGGAGGGCCGACGGGGTGAGAGCCAGGAGACGAAGCTGCGGCTGGGGGCTCGAGGGTCGGAAGCGCCGGGGGATGGGGCATCGGTCCTGGGCTGGGGCGAATGGAGGGGGCCGGAGGGTGGGTCGTGGGGGAAGGGAAGGGGAGGGCAGAAGGGGACCCCGAGGGCTGTGAGAGGGGCTCTGAGGGGGCTTCGCGGTCCGTGCTTGCCCCGGGAGCTGAGAGCAGTGCTGGGCCAGAGGGGTTGTGAGCTGCTGTGCTCTGAAGGGTCTGCAGGGGAGGCCGGCGAGGAACTGGGCTCGTGGGAGGAGGCGGAGAGGGGGCTCGAGAGAAGTGGGAAGGGAAGGAGCCGGGGCCAGGCCGAAGGCCGAGGACCGGGCTCCACTGGGGGATGGGAGCCAAGGGGAGAGGAGGTTATTGGGAGGGGGCAGAGAGGAGGGTGCCAAGGTGCGCGAGGCAGAGAGGTCTGAGCTGGGGAGAGCTGGGCAGGATGGGGGGGCCGAGGCCGAGAGGGAGAGGAACGGAAGCTTGCGGGGGAAGCTGGGGGTGAAGAGGGAGGGAGACTGGGAAAGCAGTAGGAGGGGGCTCTGCTGGGGTGGGAATGAGCTGGGGGCGGCGGCAGGGTTCTGGCCAGAGTGTTGCAGGGGCAGAGGAAGCCGCAGGGCCTGGGCTGGCTCCCCCACCCTTAAAGAGGAGGGGACCATTTCTCATGTCCCAGCCTCCTCCCCAGCGGAGGGAGCAGTGTGCCTTGGGTTCTTTGGGCTGGAGTGTGAGCCCTTGAACCCTTGATGGGCTCTCGGAGGTAAAATTAGCTTTGAGGGGCGGGGTGCTGTTGTCTGCTGAGTCCTGGAAGAGGGCATTCGGTGCTTCACTGAGCGAGGGATGGATGGGAGGGACCGTGTCTCAGTGCCTAGAGGTGAAAAGGGAGGCCGGCCGCAGGGTAGAGTAAATCCTAGGGGGTAGGTCTTGGTTCGTCAGCCCTCTTGACTGCTTTGGGGGCTTCCACGGACCTGGTTTCTGTATGTGCTGGGGTGGGCGAGGCCCTTCTATTTATTCCTGCCCCTCTTCCTGTCCACCTTCCAGTGTCTGGGCGTTCCTTCTGGGGGAGGGTGGACTTCGGGGTTTTGCATTCCAGTCTTCTGTCTTCTGCCTGGGAAGGAGAAGCTTCCGGGAGCAGGGAGGAAGAAGGAGGGAGCCTGGTCGGTCTGTTAACTGTGGGCCTCAGGTCCCAGGCATGTCTCTGGGATGCTGGCATCCAAGGCTGGGGCTGGGTCTTTCTGGTGGCCTTGTGTCCCTGCTGGGGGAAGTGTTTTCAGGCCCATCCTGGCCTCTGCTGTGCTGGGTTGGGCGAGACTGACCAGCTCAGTGGGCAGTGGCCGCTGGGGGTTCTCACCAGGAGTCTGGGCCTCTCCTGGCTCCTCTGCCAGGACTGAATCTACCTGACAAGGGACTCCTGGGAGGAGGGACAGGCTGCTGGTGGCCTGTCTTCCCTTCCAGGCCCGATCTGTATCCAGGTCCAGTTGCTCCATCCTGCCCAACCTTCCTGGTCGCACAGACATCCTGACACAGATACACACGCTTGGTGGTACTCACCCAGACACACACCTGCACAGGCACACACACCTGTGTACACAGTATACCTCCTAGCAGCAGTCGGCACACACTCCCTGCCCAGGGAGACTGCCATCTTTCCGCCGCCTCAAAGACCTTCCCAGGAGCCATGCTTTCATGGACATGGCACACATTTGGCCCCTGCCTGGCCCTGGACAGCATTGCCAGCCCTGATCCTGAGATGAACACAATCCCCGTTCCAACCATTCACTGCCCCAGCCTCAGCGCGCCTGTGCTGGGCCACACACACCGCCCACCCCCCAAGTACACCAGCTGGTGGGCACCTCTTCTGGCCGCACCATTACAGCCATGCGCTGGGCCCTGAGCCCTCTGCCCTGGGCCTGTGAGTGTGCATGTGCAAGCGCACACCAATGCACACATGCGCTAACACACCCCTCTATGCCCTGGGCGCTAGGCCTGTCTTCCAGTTCATTTTTTCATGCTCTTGCCTTCCTACTGTCAACAGTCCCCCAAGTCCTGGGCCCTCCTACTCCTCCTGACCATGACCTGAGTCCCCTCCTGGTCTAGCCCAGCACTCAGGCACGGCTGACCTCTGGCACAACCCCTGCCTGGCACTGGAGACACACCAGCCACTCATTAGCCGCTCCTTACCCAGCGCCTGCGGGGATGTCCTGTGTGTGCCCATACTGCCACCCGCCCTCCATCCCCATCAGCCTTGTGCTCTCCCATCCTAGCCCTTCCATACTGATAGGGCTATTGGCAGCTGGAGACTCATTCAACAAATGAAAGTGCGTGGCACCTCACTGTCATTTATGAAACTGCTGTTCCGCTGCCACCACCATTTAATATGGGGAGGTGAAGGTGAGGCCTCCGATCTGCCCCTCAGTTTCTTCATCTGTAAAGTGGGCAATCTTGTACCTACCATTCTGAGATGTCACAAAGACTAGATGAGTTGATTACAGTGGCAACAACAACAACAATAATAACAATATCAACTGTATTTATCCTGTGCCTACTGCATGCCTGGTTTTATGAAATTTATTTCATCTATTTGTCAGGCTCCTGGTAAACAGTGGTTATTTTTGTCATTATTACCAGAACCCTTCCTACACACAGGCATGTACACACACACGCACACACACACACCTGACATGGATGCCTTTGTGAACATTCCCAGGCTTACTCACGAGGCCACCCCTGGAAACCATCTGTCCCCTGTGTCGCTGGGTGCCCCCGCCCAGGTCATCATGCTCCAGCTGTGTGTGGCACAGGGACTCTCAGTGTGCTCTCCCACTACCTTCCCTCAAGGCTCAAGGCACCTGGGCTCCGACCCCCACTCCACCAAGCCATGCTGTGTACCCCTGTTCCCAGCCCCCCACTTCTCATCCCCAGACACCTGGTAGCAGCATCATGCTCACCTCAAGCTGTCCCCGTCCCCAGCCCCTTCCTGCTCCTCTCTGTGCCCACAGAGCTCTGCTTGAGCACCCCACCCGCCAAGCCCTCCTTGGCCATCTACTCCCACTGGTTTTCAGACCTCGTTGTCTCTTTGCCCCTTCTCTGGGTCCCTGCAGACGAGGCACCTGGGGATTGGAGGAAACCAAAGTGGAGTCACAGCTCTGCTGTGGCCCCTCTCCCCCAGCACTATCTTCTTCCTGGAAACAGGGCGGCAGTAGTCCATGCCTCGTTAGTCTCTCATGAGGCCCTGGTGAGAATGCAAAGAAACCTTAGACACGTGGAGTTTTGCAAAAGGCTTGGTAAAAAGGATGAGATCGGGAGTTCTCACTTTAGTCTCTGCTTAAGACTCTCTACTCAGTGCCTCATATGCTTTAATTCTAACTCCGACAGACAGCAATATTATTATCCCTATTTTATTCCTAAGGGAACTGAAATCCAGAGAAGCTAAGTAACTTGCCAAAGGTCACACAACGAGGCTGAGACTGAGTTGGCATTAGAAGCAGGCCCCAGGGCCGGCGCTGTAACCACCACTTTCTCCGCTTTGGAGGCCCTGGCTGGGGATGGACCTTAGCTCTGCTAGGTCACTGGGGCCCAGATGAAGGGAAAGGAGGAAAGGACTGTTTATCATCCTGTCAGTCCTGCTGGGGGGCTCCAGGAGGTCAGTGTGCTCGCCCTAACCCTTCTGCACCTGAGGGAACCTCAAGAGTCAAACAGCCGGCCCCCGCCCGCCTCATGATTCAAGAAGCCCTCCCAGGCCACTCAGAGCAGTAGTCATCCCGCCTCAGCTCGTACTCCTCCACAGCCCGGGACTCTCCCTCCGAGGCCCACTCTGCTGCTGCGTGGTTTAGGTTGCCAGCAAGTTTCTATAGCTGAAGCCAAAATCTCCCCCTGATAACACACACTTCCCCCACCTGTCCACGGGTTGCCTTCTGGGGCCACCAGTGATGTGTGTAAACCTAGCTCTTTCTGCCTGGTGCCGGGGGAGGCCCCTGCTGTCTCACTCCCAGCTGGCGTGAGAGGAAGCTGGCGTGAGGAGGAGAGCCAGATCGAGGCTGGCATTCCCACAGCTGAAGGGGAGTGCGTGTGTGTGCATGTGTGCTTGTGTCTCTGTAGCATGGGGCTGACCAGAGAAGGACGGAATGAGTTCCTGCAAGGTGGGCATGGACTGTCCTGGTCTGGAATTCACATATATCTCCCCACTTTGTGCTGGGTGAGGGAGGCTGGGACCTCTGGCCAGGCAGAGGGGCCTGGGCTGGAGCAGTGGTTCAGTGGCAGCATTTAGAATGCACGGGAGTGACTTTGGTTCTATTCTTGCTCTTCTGTGTGAACCCTTGTTGGTCCCTGCCCCTCTGTGGGCCTCAGTTTCCACATTGAGAGAGAGAGAGAGAGAGAGAGAGAGAGAGAGAGAGAGAGAGACCCATGGGTGCTGAGGGCCCTGTCCTTAGTCCTGGATGAGCTCCAAGTCCCGGGCGGTGTTCCTTGTGAAGGCCCAGCCAGTGGACGGTGAGCTTTGAGCCTGACACTACCCTGCAGCCTATGGGCAGTGCAGCCTGTGGGCAGTGCAGTGGAGGCATGGCCACGGGCTTTAGGGCAGTAGCCCCTCAGTGCTTTGTCTGTGAGCCTGGGTGACAAAACTGCTTCTGAGAGCCTGGTGCATAAGTAACAGGTGGGGACATTAAGAGAGGGTCCTACATTAAGAGAGGCACCCAGCAAAGTTCTGGGGAGCCCGGAAGTTACTGCCTCCATGCTACAGAGGCACTCCGGGCTGTGGGAAGATGATGAGGATGCTGTCTGGCTCAGGGGGACCCAGAATAGTTGTCAGGAGAGGGTACAGGGAGGGAGAGGGTAGATGGAGGCTCTGAGGGTGGCATTGTCATCTCGTCCCCAGCCCCTTCTGTGTGTCACCACTCGTCTATGGGTAGAGGGTGCAAGCTGTTGCCTGGGTGCAGAAGCCGAGGATTTTTCCCGTGGGAGAGGTCAGCTCAGGAGCGTGGCCTGAGGCCAGCCAGGCTGGCAGTGCGTGCTGGCCTGGCACTGTGAGGAGCCAGAATACTCTGGGCACTCCTCTGGGTGGTGTCTCTGCACTGGCAGTGTGTAGTGGAGAAGAAGCATGGGACTGAGGGGACAGAGCTGGACACCATGGAGGCAGTGAGCATTTATTTCATGTAGTTATGCAAGGCAATGGCATGGCCCCAGGGGAGCAGATCTCTGGGGACAAGGCTGCTGTCGAGGGCACAGAGCTAAGCAGCAGGCACTGATGAACTGGACACCCCAGCCATCAGTGACCCCTGTGGCCTGCAGCAGGAGGGGCTGAAGGTGGGATGGGGGAGATTGGAAGGAGCAGGTGTTCTGGGCACTGCAGGCTGGGGTGAGATGGGGTGGAAAGGACCCAGGTGTCCACTTAGTCACGCTCTTCTTGGGTCTCTGTCTGCCTGATAAGCCTGAAGCTGCCCCCAAGGGTCTCTGGGTTCCCAGGGAGAGGGTTGAGGAGGGCCTGGGCTTCCTCGTGGTTGGCCCTGTAGCCCCAGGCCCCAGGCACAGAGTCAGGCTGCCTGTGCTGCAGACCTGTGGCTGTGGGGAGAATGAGTAATAAGCCAGGAGGGGTCAAGGGCCCAGACCCTGCCCTCACCCTGCTCTGGAGGCACGCAGGAGCCTAGCCTCTGCCCCATGCTGCCTACAGACCTGTGCCTGCAATGCCCCCCACTCCCTGTCCACAGCCAGACCAGGGGGTCCCCCACTCCTGGACTCTCGCCCACCCTGCCCCCAGCCAGGTGACCTGCCCTTGGGCACTGAGGACCCAGATGCCTATGTCACAGCCACTGGAGGCCTAATCCTACCATCTTTTTCTCCTTCAACTTCCTGAGCAGAGGGAGATTCTGCCAGCTGCTTCTCACAAGAATCCCTGTGTCATCTTAGGGGGCAGAATGTGAGCATGGCAGGCCACCATGTGGGGTCGGTCAGGGGATGGGGATAGCCATAGTTAATTAATTCCCTCCCCAAAACAGTGTCTGAAGGCGGGGGTGGGGTGGGGGGCCTAGGAGAGAGCCAGGGGAAGGTTGGGTAGGCCACACTGAGGCCGAGAACCCAGCAGATGAGGGAGAGAGATGGCCATTCTTCTGACCAGCAGGTCTGGACTCTTGCTGGGGTGGTCTCTAGCTATCCCTTCTGCAGAGGAAAAGGAGTTTTAGCTTTTCTTTCCCAAGGCCTCAGGGACCCCCATTCCCTGCCTGGGCTGGGTTGAGGGTGTGTGTGTGTGGGGGGGTAAGGGCGTCAATCAGGCTGGGAGCAGGTGCTGCATTTAATTTGATTGGCTAATTAGCCCGCGCATGTTAATTATCTCCATTACCCAATGAGGAGAAGCAGTGGCAAGCTATATATAACCCAACAGTGTTTGCAAGGAGGGGGCTGCAGGCCTGGATCTTCCATCTCCTGCCTGGGAAGGGGCAGTCCTTGGAGGGGCACTGGGATAGGTCGGTTGGGTCCCCCCAAAGGAGCTTTCATG